GGGGTTGGGGGCACAAATTCGGCACCTCCGCCGCGTCTGAAATGCCCGATTTTGGTGGCCCGGAAGGGTCCGCGGATATTCGGCTTTCCACATACCTTCTTGGCCAGGGGGCCAGTTTGTCATGCAGGGGGCTAGAAAGGATGCCCCGCTGCGAAATAGCAGACCGGATTTCGCCTTCAATGCTTATCGCAGGAGCCTGCGGGCCGCCGCGGGCGACAGTAGTTGTCCGCGGCCCTTTAGGGCCGCGGGGAAGTGGTGGAGCCCGCTTTCGCGCTGGTTAGATTTTCGCGCACGCATTTGGTTACCAATATCGCCCTCCGGGCGCGATCTTCATACTCTACTTTTTATGGCACTGAAGGTGCGACTTCGAGTACATGCTTGGCGTGGAGGAGGAGCCGCCGATTCGGGATTTTTCCTACACCTTCGAGCCCAAACTCACACTGGAAGCGATGGGGTTCGAGATGTTGGGCAGCAACTTTCCGCAGTGGAGCGATGTGTACCGGGAGAACCGAAACGTGGACGATCCCTTTTCAAATATGGACCCCTTCCCGGTCTGTACCGCGGAAGGTGGGGGACACATGGGCCCGAAACAGTGCGGCGACATACTGGGAGAACGTACTAGAACCCTTTTCTCAGATTTCACGTGAATTCGGTTTTTTCGTTCCTATATAGGACTCGTTCAGAAGCAGAAGATAAGAAATTGTAGAAGTACTTACTTACTCGCTTGCGTGATGACAAAAGAAAGATTAAGATAATTTAATCGCATGCAATGAACTCTTAACTAGGCATCCGGTTTCTTCCGGCCGATCGCATACCGGGCGACCGTATGCTGTGGAAGATTTTTACCATTACCCTCACCAGTCTGTGATGCGCACACGCATGATAAAATGCAACCCAAAAAAAAAAACTAAATCATATGCCCCTCTACTTTTTGCATTGCAGATTTCTGAAGGTGGGGGTAATGGCGATTTTCCTCTCCAGAAATTGCGATATTCCCAGCGACACGGACAGCGATGGGCGAGATGAATACGCAGTGGAAATGCTGACACAACTAGATTTACTTATCTTTGTCATGCTGGTGGGTATGTAAAACGCAAAGACAAACGCAATTGATTCCTCGTAATATGCCACGACAGCAATTTTGATCGCAAGGGCCGCAAATTGCAACATCATCAATAGAACGCGTGGAGCTGCAGCTTCTGACTTTGTTGGCTCAGAAGTTTCCCTTGCACACCCTAACGTTTGAGATGCCGCGGCCGAAGATGCACGAATACCTGAAATCATGGTACCACCCGGACGTGATTGCGAAGGGCGAGGAGGTGTGGCAGCGCAGAAAAGCAGAGTGGGACCAGCTGCAGGCGTCGGCGGCGAAAATCGACTCGGACTCCTTTCCCGAGCGGGAGGAGGCGCGCGCGGCGCTCAAGAGACTCCAGGATTTGCGCGAGCCGCCCAAATTTCCGCTGCTGCCGGAGCACGACTACGAGATTGTCTCCGGAAAAGTGGTCAAGCAGCAGGCCCTCGAGGAGCTGCTGGAAACCAGGAATCGCAAGCGGGCAACGCGGCTTCGGAACGACCTGTCGGAGTGCAACAAGTTCCTGGAGCCCCACCAAAAACTGTTTTTGGAATAACAAGGACCAGAACTTGGTCCTCTGGTTGCTTCATCCTGTTCGTTCCTGTTGTATTAGGCTTTTCCTCCTGTTGCTTATGCTTTAGTATACTACAAAAAGAATTCTGGCAGCACATCTCCCACTCTGGGAGATTTGTCTGCCAGATGCACGGCTGATAGTTTATTTCTTTGAACATGAATGTGATTGGAGGACACCAACGACTTTATTAGTGTCATGCTCAGAAAAATGCGAAGGGTTTTTTCGTACATCGCGAGCGCGCGCTGAGGACTGTGCGTCTCGCACCGTCCTAATCGCTATGGCCATAGCGAGAGCGAGCACGCCAACAATATACAACTCTGTCTTGAAGATGGATCATTATTCGAATTGATAAACCAGAAAAACAGCAGTATCACGGTAACTTTTTTTTACAAGTATCACAGAGGGCCTACACACGTAGATATTGCCGCGTTTTTACGTAGTTGTGAATAGTCAACAGCCAAATTTACGCTGGATTTCAATTGCGCAGAGTAGAAAATAACAACGCTGACTGCAGCAGGTGGTTGTGAGTTGTTGTGATGACGTTTATTAACAGAAAAATGCACTTCCTTGTTGACCTCGCAGAAGTCCCAGGCTGCTGGTGGCGGATAGCGATCGTCTTTTTGTAAAATTGGAACGGGACGAAAAATTAGACCTTAACCGTCGGGAAACAAAGCGCATTTTTCTAAATAGAAAGCAAGAGCGACGTTGTCCGTGCTAGTAGCATCTTGACCTGCATTTATTTTGTCTGGTTGTGTCACATACCGAGGAAGACTGACGTAGAATAGACCGACTCAGCTGGTGCACATTGATCCGACTCAGCTAGATTGTGCATAATCTGAAGACTAAGAAATACAACGAATGGAGCCTGAATGAAGATCAGCTTAAATCCAGATCACTCTCACTGATCATTCGCGATAGAAAATCAAGGTAAAAGATCAAGAAGCTGACCGATGAACTATGTTTTGGTCACGTGCTGGATGTACTTGCTGATGCAGGAAGAGACTCGGTCGTTTTCTTGGTAGAAGGTGGAAAATGTATTTCGGTTTGAAAAATGTAAGTAACATGCCTTTGATGATGAGTCGAAAACAAAAAATGATCCATGTGAAGATCCGGTCGTGTGTCTCATTGCTCGCATCTCCTTTTTTCAGGGTTCTATCTAACTATTCTAGGATCTTCATAGACGGGTCTGACCAAACTACTGTTCTAAACAATATACAAACGGATATGTTTTTGTGGGCCCGATCGGGCGCTGCACAAGGTGTCTTCCGTAAACATAAATCATTTTCTACTAGTAGCTCCTTCCGAGCGACGAGCTCGTGCTCGAGCTGTAGCGTTAAAAAGCCTTCTGAGTCTTCCTTTACATCAACACGACGAGGTTTTTCTTTTTCCATTTCACAAACGGGAAAAAATAAAATCAACATGTCGACGACCTTGATGTCGTCAGCTCCGGCCTCTTGGCCGAAGACCGTTCCTTTCTTCTTGTACCGTAGCGGAACTTCCCGCGGTGCATATTTCCTCGAACAGGACCTGGAGTCCGTTTTGCTAGAAGAGGACTATAATGTTGGTGGACCCACTCCCACAACTGCAGCTGCATCGAATTCGAAAGGAGTTACATCTCTGGAAGATCTTCGTGGCGAGCCTGACAAAGACAAACGGTTGCCTGGTTCATCATCGGGAGCAGGCGGTTCCTCGAGTAGTCGTTCTAGAGGAATAAAAAAGGAACACACACCTCCAGGAGATCTTCCAGCTTCGGACTTCTCAAACCCAGCAGATGAAGTGCCACTATCGCTGCAAAGTAGAGCAAATTTCTACCGTCGTCGTGACCAGTTGATTGCTCGTATCATGGGTTCTGGGGTCCCGCAAAATTTGCAGGGGCTCGGCGGCGGATCGCCGGTGACCACGAAGGCGTGCGTCGTTGGCAGGTATAATGCTGAAGACGAAACGCAAACGGGTGCCAAAAACGAAAAATCTCCTGCAGTTGTAGCCGATTTGGCGTACGAATTTTTCCAATGTGGCGTGAAGGAGGCAGGGGTTGACCATTCGCACGGCGACTGCGGAAACATGCTGGCTGCCGTGGCCGCGTTCGGGATTGAGAAGGGACTGGTAGAATTGGAACACTGCTGCAACACTAGTAGTGCTACTTCGCATGAGAAGTCTCGCGACCGTGATGGTGTAACCTCCACGAGCTCGACGTGCCCTGTCCGTTTGTACAGCCGAAATTCAAAGGCAGTGTACACGATTGAGGTTCCAGTTACGACATTTCCGATAGCTGATAAGAACGCGATGGAGCGTGAAGATCGCGCTGCAAATTTTTATGAGACAAATAACGTCGCAAACGCAAACCGCACGAGTTACAAGCGCCCGCGTGATGAAGCAGGAGAACAACTACAAGCGGCCTCTAAAGCAACAACTTCTAACGTATACGTGCGGTACACGGGCGACTTCCAGGTTCCCGGCGTCCCAAGCCCGGGCGCCCCGACGCGCATCACCAGCCACGGTGTCGTGGGAACACAGACGAATGGAGAGTTGTTTCCAACGGGGAATGTAGTGGATGCTTTTACCGTAGAGAAGTTCCTTGCCGAATCATCATCAGAAGATTCAGAAGATGATGAAAAAGATGAAGATCTTTTTTCAGCTGCGCGCCCCCGCAGGTCCCTGTCCTTCACGGTGAAGAACGTCACCTGCATTGACTTCGCTCGGGCGCTTGTGATCGTCGGTGCATCGGAGCTTGCTAAGTTTCCATTGCTTCGTCTCGCACTGCGGCGGTTTTACAGGGACAACTTCTTCGAAGATGAAGAAAACACGTTAGCGAGCAGGTGCATCGAGTTCGGTGCTGTGGACGACGGGCTCTACACGTATCTGGAGCAAATTCGCCTGGCGGCTGCTTTGAAAATGGGAATGGGAGATTGCCGCGGCAAAGACGCTCCAAAGGTTGCCTTGTTGCTTAACGACTACGAGGGGAAACAAGATAACAGCGATAAAGATACACCCACACCTTTGAAGTGCCTGTACTTCGTGAACCCAGGTCGGCAGGAACTTCACCCAACCTGCGCGATGACCGCTGGCCAGGCTCTCGCCGCCGCAGCTTTGATACCGGGAACCTTGCCCCATCGGGTGCAGGCTGCGCGGCTCGAGAAAGAACGACTTGAAAGCGCCGTGAACAATCCAACCGCGAAAAAGCAAAGTTATGAAATTCAGATAGAACACGCCAAAGGTGTGCTGGGCGTGGAGGTAGGCGTCGAGAATAAGCAGCAGGACGGTCAACAGGAACAAAACGACCTCCTTCAGTTTCCGTACGGTAAACCAGAGACTGGCACCTACACGACGACTGTGCGGCTTTTGTCGCGGGGCGAATACGTCCTCCACGGGGATGAGGAGGAAGTTTTTGGTGCTGGTAATCAGGACAAAGCTGAAGGCGAAGATCACTTTTCGATCGCACGAAATGAAGATGTTGCGCGAGGAGACACGAAACGAAAATGCCTGGAACTACATGGAATACTGCTTTAGGTTGAGTGATGGAGGCGTTGAGTTTTACCACGATGAAGAAAATAACGGCAGTGGTTCCTCGCATAAAAAACTGAGAACCAGGCTCGAAATCTTTATTCTGTGGACCTTGAACGTGAACTCCAACATCATCATCAGTGTGCTGGCGCCCCCTGCAGCTTTAACTCCTGGTTCTGGCAGGTGCTGCTATCTTACACACGTTTCATAATGAAACGTGTGTAAGATAGCAGCATCATGATGGTAGAACGTACGAAGATTAGAAGTAGAAGACGCTCATCATGATGGTAGCAAAGCCAAAGGTCAATAAGGCATGTTCGGGTGATGTTCTTGGTGTTCTTAACACTAGAGATATAGTGCAGATGCTGGCACAGAAAATTTTCGTTCCTGTTAGGCTGTTTCTTCTTCAGACATTTTTCGTGTCGCACGATACCGTAGTGCCGTGTTGCACCACCACGACCAGGACTGGTCGTGAGCCATGATGTAAGTAGTTTGAAAGTTCACTAGCCATTATGGTTATGCATCGTTATCATGTACGAGGCAGCTGTCGTTTTCGTGGCGCAGGCACACTTTCGTTTCGAGCCTTATTTAAGAACGGCGAAGCGAGTAGTTGTTGTCATTGTGTCGTCCGAAATTCGTGACGTTCGTTCAAACGCAAGGTGCAAATTTATGGTTTGCTGGTGCAGTCCCCCTGAAGTCTAAGTCACCAAAATGTAGTTTCGTTCACCCTTTCAAATTAGAAGAAATACGTTGTCTCTCTTTAGTCTTTCAATCGCTCTCACGAAAAAGTAGAGCTGCACTTGCACCGGCATTTCATCCTCTTGATCGTCTGAAGTACCTCCAGTACGTCGTTCCAAACATACACGTGTAAGTATATATTTTTACCAGTGAGTCAGAGTCGTGTAGAAGGTAAACTAAAGGCTCAAACCATTCAGCAACTTACCAGCACTGCTATTCTTTCCTCTCACCAGATCCCAAGGTTTTTTCCTCGTTCGAGGTTGGGCCGACGCACAAAGAACAACACCCACAACTAACATCCTGCGCTCTACCTCTACCCTTGCTAACACTAAGGTCGTGTGCAATAACGACAGTCTACTTCTAGTAGCAACACCAGTCAGAATACCAGTCGCTGGAACTAGATCACTCTTTAGGTCTGTCTCAGTCCTCTCAAGAAGATGATGAAAAAAGCTGCCATCGTCGCTGCTGCCAACCCCCTGGGGGGGGGGAGCGGCGAGTTTGTCTTCGCGTCGAAGACGAAGAAGCCGCCGACAACCCACAGCTGGGCGGGAAGCGAGACCGATCCGGTGGGTTTTGTCCAAATGGGGCAGAACGGCAAATCCCAAAAACGTACGACCGCGAAGCTGAGTTTTATGAAAAAAAAGCGCAATCCGATGTGTGATTTTAAAATCTTCGATGAATGTGTGGAGAGTTGCAAGAACTCCAACTCTGACCTGAGCAACGTAAGCGATGGAACACAAGCAAGCTGCATTAAAGAGGTCTGCGTGGGCCAAGCGAAGTCGGAAAACTGCTTTCACATTCCCAACGATGACGCTG